ATGTTAATGTGGATGATTTTTTCCAAATCGATCTTTGTTGTTGCCGCTTCAAAGTGGTTGATGAGAAAGAAGGGTGATACTTGTCTTAAAGACACAGAGGTGTACCGCCTCAGAAAACTGGTGCAGAAGGTAAAGACACTAATTACTGATGAAGCAAAAAAGTAAAGGCAGGAAACAGTATGTTCTGCATATTTTTCCATTCTGTTCAGTGTGTGTTCATTATGAGTAGTTTCAAAATTCATCTTTAAATCTTAACGGAGCAAGAGATGTTAAAAAGAGAACTATGTATTATGAACTTTTAAAAAACTAAGTGCATTGATATTGCTTTTGCTCAAGAAACTCACAGTAATAATGATAATGAAGTTGAGTGGAAGAGAGAATGGATGGAAATATCTTTTTGAGTCATAAGAGCAGTTTGAGTGCAGGCGTGGCAATTCTTTTCTCAAAGAACTTTGTGCGGTGTCTGTAGACTCAGAGGAGGTCGTTCAGGCAGGTTACTGAAAGTGACTGCCAGATATGAAAAATCCACGCTCACTTTGTTAAATGTGTACACTCCAGTAAATCAACAAACTGAAAGAATTCTGTCTTTTCTTGACATATTAGAGAGGAGACTTAATTGCACTGTTGATGATTTGGACAGGAATCATATGGAACCTAATGCTCAGTCAAGGAAGATTTTGAAACGTATTATTGAAACGTATGAACTGACGGATGTGTGGCGCTCCAAACATGGGAACAATAGACAGTATTCATGGCACATGCTAGAGATAATTACATCTCTTTAGCCAGGTTAGACAGATTTTATTGCTTTGAACACCAATTACAAATATTCAAATCTTGTTTCTTGTGTCCAGTGGGTTTTTCAGATCACTGTTTGTTAATCGGAAATGTTTTTATAAATGGAGTCAAACCAAAAAGTGCATATTGGCATTTTAATACGGTTTTAACAAATGACGGTCACTTTAGAAAATGTTTCAATTTTTTTTGGAAAAAGTGGCAGTCTAGGAAATCTCAGTTTACATCTTTACAGCAATGGTGGGATATTGGTAAAATACAAATTCAGCAGTTTTGTAATCAGTACAATTTTAATGTCACAAGAGAGGTCACACAATCTATAAAACATCTAGAGACTGATATTGTGGAACTCCAGACTTTAAGTGGATCCACAGGAGATGGAGGCCACATTAAGGCACTCAAATCCAAAAAAGCTGCTTTGGCAGATCTGCTGGGGATAAGAGCACAGGGGCGTTAGTCGATCACGTTTTCAAAATATCTCTGAAATGGATGCTCCATCCAAGTTTTTCTTCAATCTAGAAAAGAAAAATGGTCAGAATCGACTCATCCACTGTATCAGATCTGCTGATGGAAGAGATCTCACTGACTCAGCTGAAATCAGGAAAAGAGCTGTGGACTTCTTCTCAAACCTCTACAACAGTGAGTACAGAGAGAACGTGCTGATGTCAGAGCAGTTTTTGTCTGACTTACCAAAGTTATCAGAAGGGGATAATGCAGACCTGTCACGCCCACTCACACTGCAAGAGCTGCAGGAGGCGCTGATGAGTATGGAAAACGGCAAAGCTCCAGGAATAGATGGTCTCCCTGTAGACTTTTACAAATGTTTTTGGTCTACTTTGGGAGACGATTTGTTAGAGGTCATAAATGACAGTGTGTCTGGAGGGAAACTACCTGTGAGCTGTCGAAGAGCGGTCCTCACTCTCCTGCCTAAAAAAGTGACCTTTGTGAAATAAAGAACTGGAGGCCAGTAAGTCTGCTTTGTGCAGATTATAAAATCTTTTCCAAAGTGTTGGCCAATAGATTAAAAAAAGTGATGGAGCAAGTAATACATGTTGATCAGTCATACTGCATCCCTGGCAGATCAATTAGGGACAATATATCCCTCATTAGAGATTATTTGGAAGTCTCTAGCTCGTTAGATGTTAAGTTTGGTCTGATTTCTCTTGACCAAGAGAAGGCATTTGATCGGGTGGAACATAAGTATTTGTGGAACACCTTTGAGGCTTTTGGTTTCTCCCCCAGTTTCATTGCCTTGATGAAAACTCTGTATTGTGACATTGAAAGTGTATTGAAGGTTAATGGTGGTTTAAGCGCTCCTTTTAATATCAATAGAGGGATTCGGCAGGGCTGTGCAGTGTCTGGCATGCTTTATTCTATAGCCATTGAACCCATGTTGTGTCAGATAAGAAAACAGTTAACAGGGTTTAAATTAAAGGAGAATCTTATACCCATGCATCTGTCAGCATATGCAGATGACATCATGGTTGCTGTAACAGATAATAGTGATGTCAAAAAGCTTATTCACATCACAGAGTGCTTTGGGAAATTTCCTCCTCGAAGGTAAACTGGGGTAAAAGTACAGCCTTGTTAGTAGGAAAATGGCGAGGGAATGAACCAAGGTTACCTGATGGGTTTAAATGGGTGACGCATGGCATCAAGTATCTAGGTGTTTTTTTAGGATGTCAGTCTGAGGTTCAGAAAAACTGGGAGGGTGTGATTGAGAAAATGGAGGGCAAATTAAAGAAATGGCAGTGGCTTTTACCACGAATGTCCTATAGGGGGCGCACACTTATTATTAACAATCTAGTGGCCTCCACCCTGTGGCATCGCCTGTCAGTGTTAGAACCCCAGCAAACCTGTTAATGAAACTCCAGAGTATCATAGTAAACTTCTTTTGGATAGATTACACTGGGTACCACAGAGTGTTTTATTTTTGCCTAAAGAGGAAGGAGGACAGGGATTGGTTCATCTGGCAAGTAGGAAGGCAGCTTTTAGACTGCAGGTCCTACAAAGCTTTCTTTATGGACCTCTAAATTTACCCTGGAGACACGTGGCTGAGTTTATCTTTGGTCTTGTTGGTCATTTAGGATTTGGAAGAAACATGTTTCTTATGAACTGTGCAGAGTTGAATCTGAGTTGTTTGCCATCATTTTATGTGAGTGTTATTAAAATGTGGGGGCTGTTGGAAACTGGGCGTCTGGGTTCAAACACATCCTTGCATTGGCTGTTGAAGGAACCTATACTGAAGGGCTCTCGGTTGGGCACTTCATTGGAAGAGGCGCTGATGACATCTGGAACTCTGACAAATAAAGGAATAACTACAGTCCAACATCTGTTAGAACTGGCTGGAGCTAATTTGGATAATGCTGTAACCGTGGCGAGGAGACTGGAGGTCAGATCGATTCGAGTGGTCGGGCTGATGCTGGAGAAATTCAGAAAGGCGCTGTCAGAAGAGGACAGAGTTCTCCTACAGAAATGGTTTAACGGACAACTGAAACCTGAGGATTGTGACTGTTTTCCCAGGATGTGTGTGAGGTCAAAGTCTGAAGGACTGGGCCCTCTGGAAGAGAGCAGTAAGGTTTGGATGCCTTTGGACTCTGTGAATGGGAAAACACTTTATCAGGGATGTGTCAAGGGGTTAAATAAAGAGAAACTTAAAGATAGAGCAGACACACCATGGAGAAAGTATTTCAAAGTAAAATCTGAGGTCAAACCTGCATGGAGCATGCTCTACAAACCACCGTTAACAAAATGTACTGCTGATTTACAATGGCGTATTTTACATGGAATTGTGGCTGTTAATGCTTTTGTTTCTGTGTTGAATCCTGCTGTCTCAGATAATTGCCCCTTTTGCTCTGAACGAGAGACAATTTTTCATTGTTTTTTACAGTGTTCTAGATTGAGATCTCTTTTTGGGATACTGAATACTCTCCTAATGTCCTATGGAGAACATTTTACTGACCTCATGTTCATTTTTGGTTTCTCTTACAGTAAAAAAAAGAAGAAAAAAGGTCGGCTGCTGAATTTCCTTTTTGGTCAAGTTGGCAGTTTATCTCAGTAGAAAAGAAAGAATGGAAAGAGGACAGAGATGTGATTGTGTTGTGGTGTTTCGGAACCTTGTTAAATCTCAAATATTGTTGGAACACAAGTATTATTTTAAAATGGAAGAGCTGGATGTTTTTGAAAAAATATGGGACGATGATGGTGTACTCTTTTCTTTGAAAGACTCTGAAATCATATTTGCAGATGTTTTCATATAAATCCATATTTTTGTGACATATTGTAGTTTGTGACAGTATCCCAACAATGGGAATGTAAATACATTTTTAAAACTCAAACTCTCTCTCCTGTCTCTCTCTCTCTCTCTGTCTCTCTCTCTCTCTCTCTCTCTCTGTCTCTCTCTCTGTCTCTCTCTCTCTCTCTCTCTCTCTCTCTCTCTGTCTCTCTCTCTCTCTCTCTGTCTCTCTCTCTCTGTCTCTCTCTCTCTCTGTCTCTTCTCTCTCTCTCTGTCTCCTCTCTCTGTCTCTCTCTTCTGTCTCTCTCTCTTCTCTCTCTCTCTCTCTGTCTCTCTCTCTCTCTGTCTCTCTCTGTCTCTCTCTCTGTCTGTCTCTCTCTCTCTCTGTCTCTCTCTCTGTCTCTCGCTCTCTCTCTGTCTCTCTCTGCTCTCTCTCTCTCTCTCTCTCTCTCTCTCTCTATGTCTCTCTCTCTCTCTGTCTCTCTCTCTCTCTCTATGTCTCTCTCTCTGTCTCTCTCTCTCTCTCTCTGTCTCTCTCTCTCTCTCTCTGTCTCTTCTGTCTCCTCTCTCTCTCTCTGTCTCTCTCTCTCTCTCTATGTCTCTCTCTGTCTCTCTCTCTCTCTCTGTCTCTCTCTGTTCTCTCTCTCTCTCTCTCTCTCTCTCTGTCTCTCTCTCTATGTCTCTCTCTCTCTCTCCCTCTCTCTCTCTCTTCTCTCTCTCTCTCTCCTGTCTCTCTCTCTCTGTCTCTGTCTCTCTCTCTCTGTCTGTCTCTCTGTCTCTCTCTCTCTCTCTCTCTCTCTCTCTCTCTCTATGAACCTTACGTCATGACATGAGTCACAAACTAACACGTTTACTCGTGGCGTTTAGTGAGGACTTATAAACAGCTGCTGACACAAGACACAGGAGTTCCTGCGTCTGGATCCTCTCAGTTCTCTGTGTCGCTCACCTGAGCTGTCTCATGATTTCACAGGTGACTGTAGACGACTCCCAGCTGTCTCACCTGACCAGAGACCGAGTCAAGATCCCCCACAACCGCCGGCTGCCCACCAGAGGACACCTGCTGGCCGTGGTACGTCTGCCCCTCCTCCTCAATCTTAAGTCCTTCCCCCTTCTCCATGTGTAGCTCCTCCTCCTCCATGTGTAGCTCCTCCTCCATGTGTAGCTCCTCCTCCTCCATGTGTAGCTCCTCCTCCATGTGTAGCTCCTTCTCCTCCATGTGTAGCTCCTCCTCCTCCATGTGTAGCTCCTCCTCCATGTGTGCTCTCCTCCATAACAAACTTTTGATGTTTTTTCATGTAGTGATTAGGTCTCTCACTCTGATTGGTCGAGGGCTCTGGCAGGTGTCAGGTGTTAGATTCAGGTGTAGTCTCTGACCTCCTCCTGTGTCTCTCTGTCAGGCCTCCACCTCCTCCTCAGACGGGATGCTGACTCTGGACCTGATCCAGGAGGAGGAGTCTGAGCCTCCTCGCGGAGCAGACGGCTGTGATGCCTTCAGGGTTGACTTGGACAAATCTGTGTCCCACCTCAGCCCAGACTGTATCCGATCAAAAACTGATGGCGCTCTCTCAGTGCGCTCCGCTGAGGCTTGTGGAAAATCTCGGAGCCTTCCTCGGGAAGTGGCGGTGGTTTGGGAACATACAGGCCCCGCCCACACCCCCCAGCCAGGAAAACGTCTGACGCCCGCTGAGAAGAACCGCTGCGCCTCTATGGACGAGATCCTGACACACTCAGAGAGTCGAGCCGTGAAAAACAAGAACCGCTCTCCGGTGGCGACGCTGAGCGGCACGCTGGCGCCTGTCAGCCGGCTGCAGGATCTGATCAGCCAGAAACTGGAGCAGACGGAGCGGCTGCTGACTGAGGTGCGAGGGGAGGGGGAAGGGGAGGCAGGGGAGCGAGGGAGGATGAAGGGGAAGGAGAGGACTGAAGCAGAGCGACTCCTGAAGGAGGCGACGGCGGCCTGGAGTCAGGCCCGCGAGTTGCTGGAGGAGGTCAAGGAGCTGAGAGTGCTGTACCAACAACTGGACTCCTCCTCCCCCCTCCTCACCCCCACAAACAGCAACAAACTGAACCCAGAGAGAAAGAGCCCACAGTGAGCGGACCGGGTGAGACTCAGCTCCTGCTGACGGATCATCTTCTTTAAAAACTAACAAGTTGCATTAATATGACTGAAGGCAGGTCCTTGAAAACATTTCCAGGTTTTGAAAAGTCCTCAAAGTGTCTTTGTTGCTGATCTGAAGTCTGTCGCCAAGACGAGCGATCAGACCAATCAGAAACCTCCAGTGTTTAAAAATGAAGCTGATGCTGAAGTGTAAAATCCTGCAGTTCCTGGAGTGTCCACTAGAGGCTGGCTGCAGAAGCACAGGAAGTCACATACACACCCATTCTAAAAAGCCTGTTTTTACAGCAGAGATGAACATGTTTACAGCCTGGTTCAAAAAAACAAATAGGTGTGATTAGCTCATGTCTGGATGGACACACACTGTACGGGGGGTGAATGTTTTGATGACTCATCAGTTTTGATTTGATGAAGGATAAGAGTTATTCACAATAAGGCGTGTAGCTGACCTGATTGACAGGTGGGCGCGGTGTAACGGTTTGTCAGGAGGTTTAAAACCCGCCTCAGCTCCAGCTCTCAGCCTGTCGTTAGGTTGACTGAAAGTTAGACTGAGACAGCATTTCCAGCATGGAGACCGCCATCGATGGGACTCCAGCGCCCCCTGCAGGGACAGACGGGGGTGCCATCGATGGGACTCCAGCGCCCCCTGCAGGAACAGACGGGGGTGCCATCGATGGGACTCCAGCGCCCCCTGCAGGAACAGATGGGTCACAAACATTCATATTTACAGTTTTTGAATCAGACTCTTGTTCCTCTCTGTTCACTTTTGTCCTTTTTATTTCTGTATTAAGATAATTTAAATGAATCGCTAATCAGCTGATCTGAGGTCTGTGTCCGTTAACGCCCGACATCGTCTGCTGAGACGACGCGCTCGTCAATCAGCGTTGACGGACTGACAGTGTTGTGCCTGGCGTGCAATGTGTAACGCACTGAGTGTTGGGGCGAGGTCATTCCTGATTCGCTGATATGGATGAAATATGAGCTGTTATATGTACTGGGCTAATGTCCCTTCTCCCTCACGGACCAATCAAAAGAAGGGGCGGGACTTCTGATGTCAGGTCACGATTTGTTTACATCGTTATGTTTTTAATTAAATAAAACATTTAACACAGACCAATCAGAGCCGGCGTTACAGTCACAACCAGGGGAGGCAGAAGTGCCACGAGCTAACTTTGGTAACCTAGCAACAGTAAGTGCCAGTACGAAACACTCAGAAACGGAGGTGGAGGGCGCCACGGCGTTAATGGACACAGACCCTGAAACAGCTGTCGGTACGAATGAAAAATTATTGAAGGTACATCAGTAAACTTTTGTCTACAGCGCCATCATCAGGTCGATATGTTCATGTGTCTGACTTATCCTTATTTACAGTCTTCAGGAGAGACTTCGTGTGTTAGCTTAGCATCAGGCTGCTAGCCTGGCTCTGCAGAGTGTGACCTCAGATCAGTTTGTAGTATTCCTTTAATGTCTTCCTGTTTGTAGTTCGTGTTCTCTGTGGCACCCAGCAGCTGCTGTAGCCTTAATGCCAGAGAGGATGATGGGAGATGTAGTCCAGTAGTGATGTAGGCCGGTTCTGTGATCAGCTCGTGCTCAAATAAAAACCTGCAAAATGAGCCAAGATCAACGAGTGTCATTCACCTGAAAACGAGCATGTGTGTGTGTGTGTGTGTGAGAGAGAGAGTGAGTGTGAGAAAGAGCGTGTGTGTGTGTGTGTGAGAGAGAGAGTGTGTGAGAGAGAGAGCGTGAGAGAGAGTGTGAGAGAGAGAGAGAGTGTGTGAGAGAGAGAGAGCGTGAGAGAGTGTGTGTGTGAGAGAGTGTGTGTGTGAGAGAGCGTGTGAGAGAGCGTGTGTGAGAGAGTGTGTGTGAGAGAGAGAGCGTGAGAGAGAGTGTGAG